GAGAAACCCTAGATTTCTCCTAAATTCCAAAACTTAAAAGAATTCAACGAAACTTCATTTCCACCGTTAAAACTTCGTTCTAAAGTTATCCTATTAATTTCATTCAAAAATTCTAAGTTTTGAGAAAGCCCTAAAATTTTACCTTGAGAAAAACTAGGGAAAGGTGAGGGATTTTTGCATGAAACTCTTACCTTAAGTCTTCCCCTTGCTTTCCCTAAACTTTTCTCAAAAGAATCTCAAAGAAAACTTAAGTTTTTCTCAAACCCTAGTTTTCATTCCTTAGGGAAAACTCAAGGGAAAGGAAGAGAAACTCTTGCAAAACACATACCTTAACCTTCCCTTAGATTTCCCTACGCTTTCCTCCAAGTTTGGCCGCCGGAAACCGCCGCCGGAGCTCGCCGAAATGGCTCCTACCCGCGCGCTCCTTCCTCTTCTCCGCTCGGTTTGGGCCGCACGAACGAATGGGGGGAGAATAGAAGGATTTCGGTTCATGTATAGAGGGGTAATGGGTTTTGCCAAAAGACCCCTATGCCCTCACTTAAACAACCCATGCTTAAATAAACATTAAGGGTACTTTGGGAATTTTTGAACTTCCAAAAATTATATCTCTTAATTTAAACGAAATTTGATACAAGTCCTATATACCAAATTGATCGGAATTTTACGCTCAATTTTATAAAATTAATCCCGTCAAAATCCGACAACATTGAAATTTTCACTTAAAACTCGTCGCGGCGCTTTGAAAAGCGTGCGAAGCCTAAAACGATGTTTTCGGGTTTTACAATCTTTCTCCTGCGCTAAAAGCCAAAGAGTGAATGAGTGAGAAGGTGCTCGAGGTGAATTTTCTCATTATTAATCGTGAGATTTTTGTTATGAGCATTTAAGTAGTTCTTTTATCTTTGAATGTTATGAATTGTTTGGTTATCTCAAAGCAAATCTTCGCCTAAGCAAGTTGATTACCTATAATACATTTAATCCTTTATTTTATTAGTGATAAATTTGTGTTGGCAACGCTTTAATTAACCTTCATTTTAATTTCCGCACGCAATTCCTGTTTGATTCACATCAATCAGTTTACAAAAGTTTTCTTTAAACTTTAAATTGCATTACTAACCTCCTTGATGAGTGATTTCTTCCAAACCTACACCACGTAACCTTCTTCTTTGGTACACAAACCCAAAACCTTCTTTCTACATAAATTCAGATAATTCCTATATACAAATAGGGTATCATTTTTTTTGTAGAACTCTACTGAACTTAAGTAATATAGAGGATAATGATTAATATCATAATTCTTACCTCTATCTTTCTTCTATTACTTTTCCTTCTTATTCTTCCTTCAGGGTTTCTTCCATTAATTGGAATGCTTACACCAACTATTTATTTCTGCACAGCCAAACTCCACTATGCAAATTCCTCCGATACCAAAGCCAAATACTGCTACAGGACCTGCACTATTGAATCCCACGATTTTCCAAAAACTCCTGGTTTGAATTCTTCTGAAATGGAAACCAATTCTTCTCTTAATGCTTACTTACCCAGCAAAGTATTGTGCCGCCTCCTGTACAGTGACTTCAGCGAAATTATGCTACAAGAATTCCTGCCGAACATATCTGTTGCGATTCCAAGCACTATGCGGAATTGGTGAACAGTTATTCCTGCACTACCGAAATTTCTCCTCTCCCGACTTTCCTTTGTGGCTTTCATTAACTACTACTTGCGTGGAGGATAAGGGGATGTGAGGCCCACAACATAATCGCCTCCTACACACCCCTTTGGAAGCATTTGTTCAGGAATTAAAGAATTATCTAATTTAATTTAGTATATTTCTTACTAATATTTATTTACAATTTCACTAAAATAAACTTCATTTACCTGGTAATAATGGATATTACATGGTGGACAAATTTTAAATCATTTTTGTTGGACATACTAAGTTAAGTGTTGCAGAGATTAGGATGCTTAGGTGGATGAGTGGCTTTATGCTTAGAGATAGGATATTAAATGAGCATATATGTGAAAAGGTTAGAGAGTTAGAGTAGCTCCAGTGGAAGATAAGATTAGAGAGAGTAGTCTTAGATGGTTTGGTCACATAAAGCGGAGGCCTTCCGATGACCCGGTTAGGAAAGTGGATGTATTAGATTTGACTTATGTTAAGATAGGTAGAGGTACACCTAAAAAGACTTGGTTAGAAAATATTAGAAATGATCTTTCTTTATTAGATTTAAACGAGAATTTGACTTTTAACAGGACACAATGGAGAAAATGAATTCATGTAGCCGACCTCACGTAGTGAAACAAAGGCTTGATGTTGTTATTGTTGTTGTTTAGGTTCAATGATTTGGTTTGTGTTCCTATTTGCTCCTCTCATTCTTGTTGATGTGTAATAGACAAATGACAATGGGTGCACTTGATGAGTTTTAAAAAATTTACTGTTATCAACCGTGATTTCTTTTATTTTGTTACTATAAATCTTTTTATGGAAAATATATGGTATTTCACTTATTTTGTGTTGTTATGATAAAAAATAGGGTTGAATATTAAAATGGTTCCCTGACTTTTTGTATGACGTTAATTTAGTCGTACAGTATCGTATGTTTCCAATTTAGTCATTCAATTATATACAATTGATCCAAAATGATCCCTTAGGGACTAAAATTAAGATCAATTTTGTTTTATTAGGATAAATTTGGTATCACACGTTTTACACGGGATCATTTTGATTATGTTTTGTATTGTTGAGAGATTAAACTGGAGAAATGTGATATTTTGAGACTAAATTGGTCACATGTGAATAGTCGGAGGACCATTTTGGGATTTAATATATTGAAAATATTAGCATATGATGTTTTAATTACACCTTTCATTTTATTTATAAAATGGAATATTATATAGATTTTGTGTCGTATCTTACTTATTGCATTAACAATCAGATCTTTATCTCAGTGTCTCATGTTCATGTCTTGTATTGATGTCAGTACTTCATAGATGGTACCTTTTAGGTGAGCATGAGGTTCTTGATTTTTCTAACTAATATCATTGCCGACACCAGAAACGCTCATATGTAAGCAAAGTAAATCTTATAAAATATTCATCTGTAAGTTGGAGTTCTGATAAATTTTAATGGAATTGGTCTGGGTTGGTGAAAAATATTTACAGGATTTAAAACGTGTACTCAGTTAGGTTTCAGCTCACCTAGTCATCTAGTTGGACTGTCATGGTTTTGTCTGGTATGAGTACTTTTTTACTAAAATTCTCTCTCTTTGTTCCGATCAACTCTTTATCTAGATCTCGCATCGTTATGTTTACCTTAATATGTCAGCTTGATTATTCCTGGTTAATCTTAGATTTTATAGGAAGATGGGCTTACCTTGGGTAGAGCAGCCTATGAAACATATAATTGACCTTTTGGGTTTGATTGTAAATTTACTATAAAGGACATGATTTATTTCCATGCGCCTGTAGAAAGTTAAGCAAAAACTGGAACATGTATTTCTACAGCGCTAAAAGATTTCTCGAGAAGCAAAATTTAATATATAAATACTTTAATTTGCTAGTCGAGCACTCTATTTGATGTTTTCTGAATTTTGTTTTGACAGATAATTGGGAAAAGTGATCCTACTCGCATTTTAGAAGAGCTTTACTGGATCTTATTGATGATTGGCCATGTTCTAATGGATGCCGGGGAGGGCGAGACAGCACTTGTAATTGTTTTTGTGCCTTATTTTTAAGATCGCCGGACTTATTTAAACTAAATTTTGTGATATTAATTTTACTTTAATGAATTGTTCATTCTTTTTTTTGCTATTTTCCTGGTTTGCTAGCTTATCTGAAATGCAAGTTCTGTCGTTCTAAAATGTTGTTAAGGCTTTCCTTTTATGAATTCTGTATGATGTTCCGGAAAGTATTTTCCACAGCGTGCTACAATGATGCTAACTAGGTCTTGCAATACCAGATTCCGGAAACATTAAAAGCTGGATTTCCAAATTTCCTGGAAGAAGCACAGCATCCTGTGGTTGTACTCTCCTGGTATATTTACTTTTAACCGTATTCAAGCCCTTTTTGGACATCAAAAAATAAGATTGGAAATGTAGTCAATGTGTTTTTCTTGTTGTATTACTGTTAAGTGGCTCTGGCCCCTTTTTTGTTGGTTGACCGCAAGCACATGACGTGCCTTCACCAATATGGGGCACATGACGTACCATTATCTTTAGCTCTATTCCAACTATTTTTGTTTGGCTTTATGAACTATATCATTCATTTCTATTGAGTGCCACGTGAGGTGTTAAGTCTACTCTTCTAGAATCATATTGAGCAACTACTGCCATGTCATCTTAGTTTTATCATCTACACCATCTTCTCCTCAGTATTATGCACTAATTTTATGTACTCATCTAAGATTATCTTTTCTACTCTTTGTTGTGCATGTTCAAATCTTCTATTTTTATTTGTCTTATTTTCAATAGATGTCACCTTAACTGTTCTTCTAATATAAGCAAATAATGATTATTCTTCCTAATCTTACCACTCGTCCTTCTTAACATTCTCATTTTTACAAATCTTAAACTTAGATGCAATTTTTTTCTTACCGATGATGCTTGGATCCATAAAAAATTGCTGGCACCTGAGGAATGCTTGGTGTTCATTTTTTTTCTTATTCCATTGCTTCCATTACTATCCCTGGGAAATGCTGTGATTAATAGCTATATGCTAAGTGTACATGTTTTGTCTACGAAGAAAATAATATCCTAAACCCTGGAATGCCTTGTCCTGTCTTATCCTGTGTGCATTGAACGTATAACAAAAAAGGTGAAGATGACTGTTTTTTTAGTCTCTGGAAAAAAAGTTAGAAAGTGATGATACACTAGGACTTCTATTTTAATTTCTTGCTTTTATCTCCCCATCATTCTCTTATATAACATCTGAAGTAATTTGGTGGAATGTTTGACATAATAAAATTAATAATGAGACTAAGTTCATGCTTTGCAGAATTTTGGAAGTTATTGGATAGACTTTTCATAATAAATGATAAAATCATCATTATCATCATCCAAAACAAGAAATTTTTTTGGCTATGTGATGTAATTATGTTAACTATTTGGGCTGTCTTTGAACCAAAGTTTAGCTGGTCTTTCAAAGTGTTAAATGCAATGCAATGGACGAGGGTTTCTTTTAGCTTAACCAAACTTAAAACACATAGGGTATTTTACAAGAAATATAATGATATGTTTATTGATAGCAATTTCTAGCAATTTGAAAGCCAAAAAAAGATCAAAGATAGAAATTGTATAAATAAGGAAGTGGTGTAAGAATACTTAAAAATGAAGAATATACTCAAGAGATTGAGTGGTCAGCTAAATATCATGAGGTGAAGGCTGTTTGAAGTAAGAAAGTGTGAATAAGGTAATCAGAAGCATTCCCAAGAAAAAAGATTGTGAGCAAAAAGCTACTCGTGCAAGATACGAGAACTAGTGAAAGCTTATATGTACTAGCTGGAGAGTGCGCATGAAGAGAAGAAACAACTAGCTTCAGTGTGAGAGAACGGAGAGCTAATGTTCAATGAGACAATGTCTGCTAGTAACAATGAGGAGAAGCAAATGATTGTGCCTACTTATTGTGTCAGGACTCAGATGCTGAACTCAATTATGAAATTTGAACCAGGATTTCGCTCCAATCAGCATTGGGGCGAACAATACAATGAATGCCGCGAAGTAGTGCAACATGCATGCTTGTTGTGGGCTTACACTTTATAACAAAGCGATGTGCAGGGTCAACACATTGTTTTACTTTGTTTCTATTGCGCACATTTAATAACACTGGTTTTAGTTTCTCTGTTTAGTACTACCCTTAGGTTAAAAATATGCCATAAACCATGTTTTACAATGAATATGGGATGATTTTTGTGATTAGTTTCATGGCATCTTGGACACGGTTGTGCATGCTATTCTGAATACATTGTTGCTACCACTTTTAATTGGAATTCCCTTTTGTCTTTACATAAAAATTCCATTTATTGTTTCTGGCATAGGTCAGTACGTAGTCAAGTGGCATTGACGCTTGATTTGGTGCTTCTTGGTTTTAGTTATGAATCTATTCATGCATGCACTGCAGCAGTATGATGAATGCATGCCTTCTTTTGTTTTTTTCCCCCCATACACAACGTTGTTAACAACTTGCCTCATAAATATATGAAATGCAGGGAATTTTTAAGACTAGAATTTTTTTAAATTTATGTTTTTTTGCTAGTTTTTTCAACGTCTATAAATCCACAATTGTTAGTTCCAACTTATGAAAGCAAGATCGTGATGTGCTCGTGCTAGAATCGGATTTTTTTCTCTATTGCATGTTTAGATTTTGTAGATCAGATTCCATTCCTTTGGTTTCTGCAGGTCAATAATAGATTTTTCAAGGCGGAGTTTAGATCCAGAGACGAGAGCAGCATATTTTAGTCCTCGCCTTATGGAGGTAAATGAAAGATTTTTCAGTTCTTTTTGATGTAGAACCAAAAGCAAGCCATGATTAAAAATTAGAAATCTAAAATTAATTCCAGCAAATAGAAGATCTGAAATTATTTTTTGGGGGGGTTGATAGGGGGGAGAATTAATTGGAGGGAGCAAAAAGGGAAAGAGGGAGAGAGAGAGGGCCGGCAATTATGGGAGTGGGGAAGGGATGTGGGAGGGAATTAAGGGATTGAGAATGGTTGCCAATCAAAGCCAACGGAGAAAGAGGCTTTAATGCAATTGACTCTCTAAATTAAATTTGAATTTAATTGCCCTTGGTGGGAGGGACTTCCCTAATATAACTTCTCTTATTTTAGGAAAGAATTTCAAATTCGAAATGAATTAAAATCTGAAATTAAAAGGGCCAGAATATTTTGTGCATCGTTGTTACATAATCTTCGAAAGGAATGAGACCAACAGAAAACTGCAATAACTACCAAGACTTCTCTTTATGAAAAGGATAACATCTAAAGTTCACCCTCAAAATAAGCAACGGACCAACCATCAACTTCACAGACAACAATTAATGCCATACAACTACATGATAACTCAACCGTCACTTTAGCATAGAAATGAACCAAAAACTTCATCAAGAAATCATCAACAAAGAACAATATAGAATGATTGCAAAAAACTCAGAAGAAAAATAAAATCAATCCATCTACAGTACAACATAAACCCCACAATTTTTTTTTGGAATATGAGGTTACGATCAAAGACTCGTCCTCCAAAACACGCTCACAAAAAAAAATCCAAGGAAAAAGAATTTGAGGACACCCTCACTAAGCAATGAAAAATAGAAGTGGAGAAGTTTAGACTGAAATATTGTAGCCAAAAGAGCAAAATCAGATCTCATAAGAGATTCTATGTGTCACGACCTGGCCCGGTTAGCTCGTAGATACGAGGCGGGAACGAGATCGGACATGTAAATTTAAGTACTCATCATCAGTTTCATGAAATTTTAAAGATATTCAAGAATAATAAAAGCGCCTCTAAACTTTTTCCAACATATATAACATTTAAAACCATCACAAAATAAGTTCATATACAAGGTGGTGTACACTTAATCTATTCATTCATGATAAAACCACCCAAAAATTGATAACTAAAAAACAACAGTAAGAACCTGGCACCCGTTGCGCGTCTACTGTAGGTGAACCTTGGGTGTTCGGCCATAACCTAAGCGTAGGTTCTCCTGAAAATTTTTCAAAACTCGGGAGTGAGCTACGCTCAGCAAGAGACAACTATAGCTAAAGTTTGTATACATTTGAAAGAACATATCTTATGGAATAATAGTCTACACATGAGTTAATAGGTGTCTAAACATTATGTTGAACATGATATGAAACATACTTGCTTAAAACATGACATATGATTTCTTAACTTGAGAGAACATGAAACATTTGCATATGTTTAACTTTCATGTCATAATGTACACATCCGTCCCGGAGTACCAAATTGTACTGATCAGGTACATATCATTCTGCCTTAAAGGCCGTCTTTGCTCAAAGAGCCACATCTTGGTACTCCGTCATCAACAATCACAAGTTATGTAGCATGAATATGATAAGATGCTTTCATATGATATGCTAAGAAATGCATATGATAGGTTAATGACCTTTTGGACCTTTCACACTAAGTAACAGTTGCATAACATTAAGTAACAATTGTATGAAATGTATCACTAATTACCCTTGCATGACATTAAGGAACAATTGCATAAAATTGAACACTAAATCACCCTTGTATGAAATTTAAACATTAAACATAGCATAAGAGTTTTGAACAATAAATGCGTACTTTCTTTAGCAAATAGAGTCACTTACCCTCAAGCCTTCCTTTGCAATAATTCCCGCACAATTCCTTACCACTTTTCTTTATCTCAACCTAAAGGAAAACAAGAGATTTAAATCTCTAAGACTTTATTTAACTCAACAAAATGTTCAATTTTTATTTAATTTAATTATGATTTTCGGATTTAATTAAAATAGCAAATATAGAAACCTAAAAAGTCATCCAATTCATCCTAAATCCTTCTAAAACATTCCTCTTTCTTTTACTTATAAATAAATTCTTATTATTTTCGGAATTAATCATAACATAATGAAGAAAATTATTTTTCTTTCTCAAAATTTCAATTTCTTATATTTAGAGACCTCTCTAAATCATTTGAAACACCTTTAGT